TTTTTTGTTTTGCATTGCTCTGTGCTGGTGGCGCTGTGGGGCTCCGAAACAATTCGTGTCCCTGGCTCTAAAGGCGGAGGGGGCCGGAGGGAGAAAGGTGGGGCACGGGTTGATCTATTGTATCTTTTCCTTTTCTCTGTATCAAAAGTAACCGCAAATTAGTTAGAATTACGATGAAATTGTATCTGTAGAAAATTGTAGTGTCGCATGAACTATGGCCCGGCAGAGGCATGACCTCACCCTTTCGCTGGTTTGTGTAATGAAGCGTATCCTTAATTTTTTTTTCAATCCTGTACCTAGGATCCAGTTTTCCTCAGTGATGAGATCTTCGGTCCCACCCCCAAAATGATTTTGCAGTGGCTGCAGATGAAAGATTTTAAAATGATTTTTTGCAGCCAATATGGAAGGCTTTGGCACACACTTATTGTGCAACTAGTCCATTGTTTGCTTGTTGTGAAGTTAAAGGGTCCATCCACGGCTGCTTATGAAGCCCTAAGGTCCCCCTCGCTCTCGTGCTTGCATATGCAAATCTCCTGATGAGGTCTGTAGGAGTTTGGGTTGTGTATGAAGGTGGGGTTGAAAAGGGAAAACCTAATGTAGTCCTTCAGATTGTAAGAGGATTCACCTGAGGTGGGTGGGTTATTTCTTTCCTGTTGCTAAGTGGAGCATGCATTTTACATGTCTTTATACAAAGATACATGTTAATGTGTGTTTTCTTTTGTTGCAACCTACAGATCACCTCGGTTCTAAGTGCAAAAGGATTAGAAGGCTTTCTGCTAACATCCATATTAGGTGTAAGAAAAAAGAAGTGATTAATGTTCTAAGATGGGTGGGAAGGCATAGCCCATGATCAGAGCATATATTAGAAACTCAACAGGTTCAGGAACAAATTTGACATTAAATTTAACACATTTTTAAGAAATCAATGTGCCTGTTATTTTGGAGTGATAAAAACTGATAATTTTAGAGGCCTTTGCATCTATTTTACATTTCAATGTCTTCAGTATTTTCAAAGAATAAATTTGACAAATACTAGGCCGTTTGAAAGTCTCTAAACTTCTTGTGAATGTTTAAATCTTCAATAATGAATTTATATATCAGATCAAAGAGTTTGCTCATTAAGTTAATTAGTCTTATGGAAAGTGATATACAACTTCAGTAGATCTCTGTAATGGTCTCTTATTCACTATTCCTTTTTAAAAGAAGGTAAATTTTGCTTCTGTCTTATGTAAAATACATCTTGCAACCCCCTAACAGTAACAAACATATATCCAAGAGAGCAGCCAGTTTTATCATCTCTCCTCTGTCAGACAAAATCTGCTTTTATAAATTCTTGGCTGGAGCAGAGACCTGGTGGCCTATGACAGTGCAGTATGACCTTTACTTCTTTGGTGTCATGGTACAACTCAGACTTGAGGACAAACATCAAGGCATAAACCCTCTTAAGAAAGCATGGATTTGGGCCATCCTCCATTTCCATTTCTGAGACCTGATCGCTAGGATATAAGGTTGGCATTTTGGGCACAGTTTATGCCAATAGAAGTAGTGTCAGCTGTTGAATTTATTACAATAATTATCAGTCTTAGAGAATCACTGGACTGTTTAATTCTGATGCAACTTTTCTTTTTTCACATCATTTAGACCAAGGCTCAGTGTGCTCATCCATGGACAACAGTATTGAACTAATGATAAACTGAGGTGCTTACTGAAAGTATTTTAATGCTTTTATCATCTTGCACCATGAAAGTGATGATTTCTTGTGGCTGCACCCTGTACATGCAGGCCATGCACAACTGAGTGTTGTGATCTTGCTGCTCAGAGTCAGTTCGAGCTCAGTGAAGTCAGCAAAAAAATGAAATCTGAATGGAAACTTGCTTCACACTTTCTCCTCTCTCTCCCCTTCAACTGAGGCTATACTTTAATTTTGGTTGTGGTTTTGCAACTTTGAAGCTGCAACTGATGAAAGTGTCTGGTTTTACTCCCATCAAATCATAGGGTGAGAAGAGTGAAGTGCTGATCTTCCACAACTCAGTGGTTCACTTATCTCCTTCCTTTTTGAGCCATTGTGTTGCCAATAAGAAGTAAGAAGTGTTTAAGATTCTGCATCTTCTCAAAGCTAGCAACTATTTTACCTCCTGCATCTTCTGCAGACATGCCTGGAAGAGTAATTTCTGTGGGGTAGCTCAATCTTTATTGTGTTTTCCCTTGCTTCTTCTGAAATACCAGTATGTTGAATTCCAGGACCTAAAGCACAAGAACTTTTTTTTTTTGTTGGGTTTCTTAATCTTCTCCCTTACATATACCTCCATTTCTAAGTTGCCAAAACTAATATATTTTTCTCCTAATACAGTTTCTCTTTTACCTAGAAAGTCTATATAGTCCAGGCACCTTTGTAAGATATTTGGGTCTCTTGGCTTAAAACTGTTTGAAGTATGGAATCGTGCTATAAACCAATCTTTTTCAAGAGCTTAATTCAACCTGACTGTCCAAAATGTTCTTTGTGCCTTGGTGAGATTCCTTTTACATTCCTTTGCATATGCAAAATTACTAGTATTATGTACTCAAGTAAGAGTCATGGTAAAAATGGCTGTCTAAAATGGTCAATAGCAGTTAGTGCAAGATGTGTAGATCCCAGGCAGATAGAATAAGCTTCCAAAGTTAACCGAAATGTCATGCAAGCAGTTCCTCAGAAGTGGGTTAGTCGTGTAGAAGAATGTTGCTTTTGAGGGCTCTAAAGTATTCTTTGTGTCCTTGATCCAACAAGGTTTCAAAGGTGGGGGGCCATCTCTATGTTGGACACCTTGTGACATAATCTTGTTTCTCCTCGCCTTTCTTATTTCATAACTTTGCTAGCTGTACTTCTCCACAGCCTACTTGTCAGCATCAACTTATAGCAATGAATAATTAGTTTAAAACTTCAAGGAACACCTGTTTCTCAGTGGTGAACAAAGGACAATATACTACATGCCTCCTTCAGACTCATCTTCTACTAAGTTAGGTCTCTCCATATCTCTTCCAGACTGATTTGCTTGACCTTTTGGTGTTATGAAATTATCTGCTCTAAATCCTACATGCCAGAGGAACTGCTGTAGCTAGCACATCCTTTCACCTGTTAGCATTCTTCATATTTTTCCTCTCTTAGAAAATAGCACAAGAACTTAATTCATGTTGCAGTTAAGAGACAATCCTAGATTTTAAATTCTTTAGTAAATATACAGGGTGGGGGAATGTCAGTGCTTCAAAATATAACTCCTGTATTGCTGTTGTGAGAAACAAAATATGCCTTGCACAGATGTGACCACACACCAGTGGCTTCAGGTCCCGTGGGCTTCTTTAAACCCCTTACTAAGTCACATTTCCAGTTTATTGTGTTACCACTGGACTATCCAGATACAAGATAATACCAATACTATAAACTTCCTTAATAGGAAGGTTTGTTCGCCGATTCTCTAGGAATAGTAGCTAGAACCTGAAATTGGTGGTCAGAAGGTATTGCAGTCTTTAAAAAGTCAGTACATTTGCTAAAAATTATTCTCTCTGCTTATCTCCCAATATAAACAACAGAGAGATGGGAACTGCCAAATAACACGTGAGTCCTAGTCTTCACTACTTGTGCAGCGAGTTGGGATGCTGTTGTGGAGCTCCTGGATGGTAAATGGAAAATTGCTCAGAGTCAACCAACACCATACAACAGAAAAGTAGTTACAGGTGCAATGTCTATTGCTTTGAGCAGCAGTAAAAATAGCAAGAGCTCTAAATGTAGTCCATGTGAATTCCAGCTTGGAGCAAATGACTGAAAATGGGGGATGCTGATGTGCCATTTTATGTTGCTGAGCAGAACCTGGATCACTATTGCTAGGGAATGGGAAAAGGATGAGTTAGATTTTACAATGCATTGAGCACTGGGATTTCCAAAGGAAGAGAGAAAAAGTGGGGTTCAATCTCATCCCCGTTCCCAGGACTGTCTCATGGATTTTACTCAATAATGTTTAAATGTAAAATGTAGGAATTTCAGGGAACAGTGAGCAGATTTGTTCTTCCCAGAGAAGTCTTCCTTTTATCAGGTTCCACTTTGGTTTTTCCTTGGGTTAGAGACCTGGGAAATGGGCCTGTAAGGTGGTGTTAACTCGCATTTCCCTGGGTTTACAGTAAATTGGGCTTCTGAGTGAATTAGAATCCCTGTATTGTATATATTCATGTAGAACTTCTTTCATTTACCTTTAGACGGATATTGTTAAATCTGTAATCTGCAGTGGAAAGAAAGAGATCAAGTAAATGATAGCCTTAAAAAATGACATCCAGGAGAAAAACATAGCCTTTAAAAATGACAAAAGGACTCCAACAACAGCAAAAACAACAAAAAAACAAACACAACCAAATTTTTGATGTCTGCTGTGATAAGAACTGTATCTTAAATTTAACTAAGTATCCTGATCAGGTCTCCATCTGCCTCCCGTGACTAACTGAGATATGAATGCCCTCACTTAATCAGAGATACCCCATGCCTGTGAGTTTGCTAATAATGACCTGTGCATGATTTAGGTAACAAGAAGTTGGCTCTTAATCCTCACTTTCCTTCAGAGCCTTGAGAAAATTACTAAATGGAAGGAAGACCCTTGGCCTCACAGGGATGTGCATCTGGAATATTAATTAACACAAATAAGAGCGAGCTTTCCATGTTCAAACAGGCTTAAAAATCAAGTGACTTGGATCTGGGGATTTCACAGCATCCCCTTCTATTTACTAAAGAATCTTGGTGCTGCCATAACCTGATCACTAAAAGGATAACTTCTTGAAAGGGTCCTTTCACCTGACAGTTTTTCATCTGTAACAGACGGGGCATGTTTTCTGACTGGATTTATTAATAAGATTTTTTTTTCTTAAGAAAATTTAAAATTTAATTTTAAAGGTTATAATTCAGAGCAGCTGTGCTATTTCTGATGGTCTCAAAGGTATCCACCCAAGGCAAAACATCTTGATGTCTTTAGAAAAAGTACTTGTGTATTCACAACTCAAGAAAAGTGCTGCAATCAACATCTTTTAAGGAGAAACCATGCTGGATAATAGAGGGGAGAAAACACATTAACCCCAGTGTTAATGACAGGGGTCTGTCGTGCTCTCTTGGTCAGGAGCAGAATGTCAGAACAGCCATAAAACTGACACACTGCACAATAAGAGAATGGGAACTGAGTGTCTTTCTCAGAGATGGGTGGGGGGGTTCAAGTCTTACCTGCTTGTAACCTGAATGATTTGAGAAAACCACTTTCCATTTGGCTCTGCTTCTCAGGTTGCCCTAACAGCAGATTTGGGGATTTCACAGGGGAGGTAAGAAGAAAATGCCAGTGATATCACAGCACTTCTGGGTTCCATTATCCCACCTATATAGTGACAGAGAAAAGTAATATAATGTGATTTCTCTATTTTTCTTCTCACGGCAACTTCATGTTTGCATCTAGACCAAAACACTTCCCTTTCAACATCTGCCCATCTCCCACAAGTTGTTTGCATTCTCTAAATGTTGAAAAACCTCAGAAATTACATTTTCTTCAGATTAACCTTATCAGAATTTTACACTTTTAAGCACTTGCTATAATTTAAAGATATTTAGATAAGGATCTCGCCAAACAGTCTCATCTGATCAATTTTATATTCAGAACTAGCCTCCTCTGCTGGATATTTACAGTCAAACTTAATTCATTAGGCCTTTTTTTCCCACTAATGCATCATTATTAATTTATGCTTTCGTAACTTTATATATAAACATTGGGTTATAAATATGATCACGATAATTTGTATCCCAGAAGACAAGCAATATTTTTATAACATTTACTCATGCTTAATTTAGTATAAATCAAATACAGTGTGTAAAAAATCCACTTCTAAAATGGAAAGAATATTTGTGTTCTTGCAAGCTAATAACAAGCTTTGGAAATCCAAAAGCTAAGTTATCTGTATTTTTTTCATTTCTTTGAAATGGAGAAATGTATTTATGTTAAGTAAAGATGGTATAGCCTGTATAAGGTACTTAATAACACATTTGTATTAATTTGATGTGGAATTCATAGTTCACTTACATTGTAGGTATGTAGGTACATCCCACTAACATTAAAATAAAAACAATCTAAACATATATGTTAGGAAATGCCTCTTCATTCCAAGATGCAAATGTACTTTCCTGCACCAAAAGGTTTCTGAAGCTAAGCTAATTCCTATCTAGATATAAGCCACTGTTTTCCCCAATTGTGTCAGGAAAGCAGATAACCTACTTGCATTCTGATTGAGGAACTGCAAATTAAAGCATTTGCCTTTGTTATAGTTATATATTAAGTTATATAGTTATAGATAAAGTTCTATAGTAATTCCACATTAATTTAACTCCACATTACTTAACATCAGCAATGTAATTTTGAAGTTTGAAAATACTTGATCATACTAACCAGAAGCCCTGAAGCACTTGAAATGATTTTTCATAAATTGACTTTCAAGACAGGATTTCTATCTCGGAAGTGTAAGGTAAAAATCAAAAAAGTTAGAGCACGTAATAGTAAGACATTCTTACTATTGAACTGAATTTGCTATATTATTTGCATTTACATAGAGCCAGGCACCTAGCAGGGTAGAAGTAAAGTTTCTGAAGTCATGCAAAGGCCCAGAGCCTGTCACCAGTTTACCCCTTTATCCCATGTTGGGATGTGAGCACTGGCAGTTGATGTTTATGTAGTGATGCCATGTGTGTGTTTGTGGTGGGGTTTTTTTGTTTGTTTTTAGCTTAATGGTCAATTGAAGGATTTGGGACAGTGTGCAGACCTGTGTACAGCTATAATTTCTCTACTTCCGTTTTCCTTTTTTAGCCTTCCACCTTATACTATGCAGAATATCAAAGTTAGACATCCTTAGCTCTTTGATTGATGAACTAGCAATTGTGTTGGCGAAGGCAGGGCTTTTATATTTGGTTGGTTGTTGTTTGTTTTGGTTTTTTTTAAATTTGGTTGTGGTTTTTCTTGGTTTTTTGTTTGTTTACTTGGGTTTTTGTTGTTTGTGTTAGGGTTTGGTTGTTTTTTTTTTGCAAGAAAAGCATAAGGGCTTTGCCCTTCTGCTGGCTTTTCTACTAGAAATAATACAGGATTTAATAATGTGATTAAATTTATTTGACTCAGAGATTATTCATGTGTTGTAATCTGATGTTTGCAGAAGTCCATACCTAAATCAGAGATGTTAACCAGCCCACCCTGCTCAAATTGTGTTTATGCAACAAATTGAGATTTTAGTATTATTATTGTTTTGTATGTCAGAATACAAAACATTTTGGATAAAGATTGAAAAAAACCAAAAACCCAGAGCATAAAATCAAATATTTTTGGATTATGTTTTGTTCCCTTTTTTCTTACTACTTAATCCTAAATGATTAATTTGTGAAATTACTTGCTAGTAAAGATGACTAAATCAAGAATTCAAGGTGCATCTAGCATAGAGGGGATATGTGTTTAAAAATGAAAACATGAAGGTGAAAGTCATAAGTCACCTTTAACCCTTACAATTCCTAGGACACCTGAATCCATTAAAACTTAAACAGGAAAAATGTATTTCAAGACAGAAGAGTCTCAGCATAATTTGTGTCTTTTTAACACCACTGTATCTAAGAGAATAACTGCTTCTACTATAACGTGTTTTTTCCTAGACATATAAAAAGTCTCCAAAACAAGATGTATAAAGGAAACTGATTCTCTTCCGACAGTACTAAAAAAAATCCATCAAATTCTTTGTGTTTTTAAACAGAGCCCATTTTACCATTTTCTTGCATATCTGTCCAGATGATGTTGGGACAATGATGAGTCTGTAAAATAATAATCCTAAATCATTAATTAAATCATTAATCCTTAGTCATAAATTTCTTTTGAAGTCTTAGTCCTCCTATGGACAACTGCCTCTACCACCTCTAAGAGATTAGCTGTCACTGGAAACTAGAAATCTGGCAATAGCTTTTGCTGCTCCTCTCTTAGCTTTGCTTCTTCTCAGTAAGAGAATTGCTGGCTATTGGCTTTTCCTTCTCTTTTGGATATGGCTCCATGGAATATCTGTTTGAGGATCAGCTTAGTTTTTGTGAGGATGCTGGACTTAACTTTTGAGTTAAAAAAAAAAAAGCATTAAAAAAAAAACCCAGGTCAACAAAATTGTTTTATAAATAAATGAAAAGTTATTAGAAGCAGGGTGTAAGGTAGTCACAGAGTGAAAAAAAATTAAATTGCAAATATTTATGGATACAAAAGCCAGTGTATAGTTTAGTATAATACAAAATACGAACAAATCCTAATTAAAAAAAACCCCAAAAAATATTTAAGAGAGCCTTTTTTTTTTTCTTTAAGTTGAACAACTATCTCCTAGAATTTATATCCTTAAAATTCAAAAAAAGTGACGTGGTTTAACCTATATGCACGTCATGTGTAGCACTTTTGGGATGATTACTGCTAGAATGGGATGCAATATTAAACCCATGTGCCAAAGGCTACAATTCATGTTTAAGTAAGTGACTAGAAGTCTTTCTTGAACTCAGAGAGGTTTTAAGCCATAAAACTAACTAAATACCAGAATTTCTAACAACATGTCAAACAGTACACAGGACTTGCAAACCAAAATAGAAGTTATGTTTTTGGGCTTCAGAAACCTGAGTTAGATGAGAGCACAAGAGAACCCTACCCCTGTCTGTAGGTACATGTATCAAGTTGTATCTTTGCCCATAATGCTCAGTCTAAATTTAGTACTTTTGAATGTATTTTGAAATGGTTATATTTACCAGCTACATAGCTGATACACAAAGTGCTTTCATTTTAGTTAAGCTTGTCCTTTTAATTGTGATCATAAAAAGTTAAAGCCTGAAAGAAATGTCCCAAACTATTTCAGCAGTTTAAAAAACAATAATGATAGCCATTCTAAATGTCTTTTCATTATATTTCAGTTACTTTACCTTACAGTTCAGCTTTTAAAATAGACACATAGCACCTAGGTTCAACAAATTAATTTATACTTACTGATCTTTTACTGAGAGCTTGCAAAACATACTAATTCTGTATAAGTTACTGTCATAGTGCAGCACTGATGTCTACAGATGTAAAGTGTGCATTTTGGTAAAAGCTAGAAAATAGAAAAAAAACCCTAAAATATACCTGCATTTTCTAACCAAAAGGAAGATAAAATATCAGTCTGGTTATGTTCCATACCTTTTCCTGCCACCATCTTTTACAGAACAGACATCAGGGCTGATGTCACATTGTTTTCAATTATCACACTTTCCATCTTACTAGCAAATTAATTTTGAGGACTAATCTTCTTCTGCTACAAAATATTTAAACACAATCTTTTATTGGGAAAACATTAAAAGCTGATGAGTTGAAGAGTTTCAGGCCAAAACTTTTCCTTAATGCACTGTCCTGTCTGTATCCAAATGTTATTGTTCATTCTGCTTGCTCGGCACTTTTTTCAAGCCTGTGGCAGGGTTAGAAATGCAAAGGTCAATTAAGGATAAGTGTGAACTTGATTATTCTTCATTTATAGTTAAGGATATTTTCAGTATTTTGGTTTTCATTATGTTCATTATGTATTGTTTTCCTTTCATCAGTATAAGTGGAGAGTTATACTTAATGGCCTTTTTTTTTTTCTTGCTTAGCTGCCAGGTGTTTAATTTTAATTTAATTTTTAAAGTCAACACTAATCTATGATGGCATATTGTGATTTTTTGTTCTTTTTTTTCAGCACCTTATCTTTCTGCTAATCGGGTAAACTAAATTATTTAGTATTTGTGGAAAAGGGTGTAGATGTTTTACGGGCAATTTATTTTAAGATTAGATTTCTAACTAGTGTGTGTTTTAAGCTTTATAATTAGAGTAAAAAGTACTATGCATGTTTAAACATTTGATTCTGATGTAACTACTGAAATGCAAATGAATACAATGATACTTCTTAGTTCATGCCACTCTCCTAAAAAGAATAAAAAACAACAGTCAAGCCTCCCTTAAAAAAAACAATCGCATTCTCCCTAGCAGCTGTCTTCCACTGCATTACCCATTTGCAGTACAGGTAGAATTTAGCATCCCAGAGAAGTTATAAAGCCAAATGAGTTGCAGTTTAAGCAGTTTGGGAAACCTAGCGGGTTTTGGTTTCCCAAACAGTCATGCAAATAGTTGGCTTGAATCGTCTGTTATCAACTGCATCTAGAGTAATATTTCATCTAGTGTCCAACAGTGGCTTAAGATTGAGGAGAGTGGTGGTATTATTATTATTAAAGAGGTGGTGCGATTTTAAAAATAGATTTTGCTTCTATTATAGAGATTTCTAAAATTGTTAAGCAAAATAAGGTTGTGGGTTTTTTTTTTTTTGTTATATGTATGCCGTATTTCTGAAAGTTCTGTTCCCCAGGAGTAATATGTGATAAAGCACAAAGTTCTGTCTACCGATTCTCACGTGACAGTAAAAACTACAGTATTTTGCATTGAAAGTGGAGGGACACTTAAATTCAGTCAACACACAACTGTCTCGCATTTTAAATAAAACTAAGCATAACTTGGATAAGATGGGTTTTACCACAGAGCTAGAATTCCGTTCAAGCTGGCGCAGGAGCACAGAGGAGCACGTAGAGCTCCTTAGCTCGGCGGCCGCAGCCTGGCCGGGCCGGAGCGGCGTTGGGCGTTCCTGCGGCCGCGCTGGGATGCCGCGCTGGGATGCCGCGCTGGGATGCCGCGCTGGGATGCCGCGCTGGGATGCCGCGCTGGGATGCCGCGCTGGGATGCCGNGCCGCGCTGGGATGCCGCGCTGGGATGCCGCGCTGGGATGCCGCGCTGGGATGCCGCGCTGGGATGCCGCGCTGGGATGCCGCGCTGGGATGCCGTGGGGCGGCTCGTGCGGCGAGCACCGCGAGCAGGCTAACGCGGCATTTCCGACCCCTCGCTTGGAGCCGAACGGTGCATCCGTTTAATCGACTCATTGAGGTGTAAACGAGCTTCCCTAATCAGACACGCTCAAGTGGGTTCTACCCATTGCCCGGGGTGAGCTCGCTTGAGCGGGTCACTGATAATAACTTAAGTCCACGCAAGGCTTAAACCAGTTCACGTGTCTGCACTCTGCTGCCGGACTAAGTTTCTGAAAACCTCAGAGAAACGGGGTGGCAATGCCGATGTGGCGGTGCCCGGTTCTTCACCGTTTTCGGGCAGATGCCCGTGTTCCCCCTCTTATTTAGCACCGACGCGAACTGGGTTCGGCGACGCGGAGAGGGACCGCGCCCGGCGGCGGGGCCGAGGCGAGGGGCGCTCCCGGCCGGGCTCCCCCACTCGCGGGGCGCCGCGCCGGGGACACCGCAGCCCGGCGGGGCCGGGGTGAATTCAGAGCCCGGCGCCGCTGTCCCGCGGTCCGGCCCCCGCGAGGCCGGAAAGGTCGGGACCGGCGCCTCCCCGCCCGTCTCGCCCAGGTTTCCCAGGGCTGTCGCGGCCAGGCGCGGCTGCAGGGGAGGTTCCCCCCCGGGTGAGGGGCTGGGGGCTGCCCCAACTTCCTCACCCCGGCAGAAGCGGAGCGCGGCTCCGCGGCACCGCGCGGCGACCGGAGGGCGGAGCGGCGCCGCACACGCCGATTAAAACTCCCTTTGCTCCCGACTGCGCCCCTGATCCCGGTGCCGCGATCCGGCTCCGGCGGCTCCGAGCCTTCCCGCGCTGCCGAGCCCGCTCGGGCCGCTCGCGGCGTCCCGCGCTCCCGAGCCCGCGCCGCCGTGCCCGCGCCGCGCGCACTCCCCCCGGGCGGCGCCGTGCCCGCGCCCTGCGCGATGCAGTGTGGGAATGGCTGTGGCGCTGGGGTTGGCTGAAAGAGGCGGCCAGTCGAGGTTTAATGTCCGCCATGTTGGCCGTGGCGTATTGAGCGGAACCGGAGCGGCGGAGGAGCGGAGCCAGCGCCCAGCCCAGCCGCGCCAGCGGGCGCCGCCGGGCCCCGTGTCGGAGTGCGCCCCGCCCC